CTTGCCCATGGTGATATTGGGAGTTTTGAATTTTGTTGTTCTTGATTTTTGCTTGGTGCAGCAAGAGAAGGAAACAGGCATGCTGGTTACGTTTCATCGTCTTATTGACTTCTTTTTTAGTTTTATATTTTGGGCTGATGGGGATGTGTTGGCTAAAGGATTATATTTAAATACTATGATGAATGGTTTAAAAGATAAGGTTTTTTGATATTTTTGTCAATCAGTTTGTCAGGTCAAGACAAATACTCTTTTCAATTTTGACCTTCATCTGTTTGTATATGAATTTTCTTTATTTATGAATGAACTAACTTTCAAAAAAATAAAAAATCTTTATAACCCAAATCGTCCGAAGAAAGACAAAGGAAACAGCAGCAGGAAGCCATGCAATCAGCAAGATAAAAGATATTGAGTTGTCTCCATAGAAAGCATGGTATAGCTGTGTCAGGATTGCACCACTCAGACCAACATAAGACTTTAGCAGGCCTAAAACACTTCCCCTGCTTTCAGGGAAGTTTTTGACACAAGTGACAAGAGCCCCGGTAGTGGCAAAGGCTTGTGAATTTGCACCTAAGCAGATGTATACACACATTTGCCACACAAGGGGTTTGGCTATGCGGCCAGTGACAGCAAGCCATATCATGAAATAGCCAAAGAAATTCATGACTGACCCAATCAAGAGAACCACCCACGGCGGTGTTACCTCGTTGATTAGCCCTGATAGGACCCCAACGTTTGCACCCAAGTCCTTGGAAAAGCTTAGCAGATTGAGAGTAGTTTGATCGTACCCCAAAGATGTTTTAATAACATTTGAATATAGACCAAACATATATGCTGCACCAGTCACGGACATGATAAGCAGTCAAGCAAAGACCATGAACCAACGTCCAATAATCAGGTTCAACCCGTAGCTCTGCACCTCTCTCCAGCCACAGCCACCACCACTGAAATGATCCGCCACCATCATCTTTTTTTTTTATCTCTTGTTTTCACTTTTTGCTAACAATTTCGCAATCCTAAAACACACTGTTTAGGCAGGCTAGCTACTAGTTTGGAAGATCAGAAAAGCACATATTTATAGCTTTTTTATGAGGTTAAGGCCATTTGAACTTTAAAGGATAATAAATTTCACGTAGGATATCAGAGTTGACTGGCTAAGAATGGAGGATGCGGTTTCTAAGAAGGAAAAGATAAGGGGATACAATATCCGTACAATAATCAGATGAAGGCACAGTATACTTCAATTATATGACACCGGAAGACGTTGGGCCACAGGATTATTACTATTTGTTGGCACTCTTTTTACCCAAGAATGAGCCAACTTTTATTGATTCATGTTCAGGATTTACCATTTCTTACCAAGTCACTTTCACCGTAAGAGTTATGATTATATTTTGGCCCCTTACAATGACTCAGGCCTTGGAAAGTTCATGGCACTTGGAAATCCATCATTGAGGCGATTAATGAATTTGCAATGGCATTTAGCTTTCAACGCCACTTTAGTCCAATGGGGAAAAATAATTCAAAAACACAGTAGCCGGTGGAACAGTCAATTTAACTCACTAGGCAGGCCTCCGAAGTGGGTTGGGTTTGTTTAAGTTATGTTTTTACTCATCCTATAAAACATTTACATTCCAATGCTAGAATTTAAAATATTCTGCTACCGACATATCAACGTAGTTGCTACTTTCTCAAGACAATTTCAGATGTCTCTGTCTGTTACTTAAAAGTCCCCGAGTCTTCTGAGGGGTAGTGAGGCTTGAATCATTTTTGAGCTCTATTGTTGGACATTTTCAAATAAAAATATGATTTCATATCGAAATAGAAAGAAAGTTGTGACTGTTGGAAATTAAAAGAAGGGTTGTGTCTCAAATAGTGTCTGTTGAGAACAGGCATCTATGCCTATAAAAGATGACCCTCCTTATCCAATGAAAAAAAAAGAAAAACAGTAATATCTCTCATTCTTCTTCCTCAAACATTTTCCAAGTTTTCTTCTATACTATTTTCCTGTAGAAAAAATATTATAGAAGTTTGATAATCTTGTTATACTCCGGTGAGTGCTCAGTGGATTGATTTCGTCAGTGCAAAACGCCATCAATCACTGGGCTTCATTGTATCTTCGAGGTTTATACGCCGGTAACTCTTTTGCACACTACAAGTGGGGGCGAATAAAACCTTAAGGACAGTGGCATTGATACACGCCTTGAAGCCAATTTCTAAGTTTTTCAGTTTGATGTTCTAACATCTGCCACCTCGTAAATTAGGCCCAATGGCCACCAAATAGCCTTTTTTTTGCCATGGGTTAGCATTAATACTGTTTCCAAGAGAATCATGTAGTCTGCACGAAAAGGTTACTAAGAAAAAATAAAAGAGTCTAAAATTTTTTAAGTTTTAATTAAAATTTTAAATAAATTTATTAATTTTTAAAATAAATATTTTATTTTAAAAATTTTTTATTAGACACATAGACCTAACCGTTAGTCAATCTTTAATATTTCCGTTAATTATTAAAAGAACAATTTAGTACTCTTTTCCTTTGGGAGGCATCTGTCGTGAGGGGGTTGGTCGGCGAATGAGAGCGCAATTGGCTAGTCACATTGTTTGAGAGAAAAAGAAATAGGAGAAAGAAGAAAAGACAATTTAATTTTTTCATATATTCTGTTAACGACGTTTATATTTTTGATGCAGACTGTTTATTTTGAAAAATAATGAATGGAGTGAAGTTATGACTAGAGAGACAAATGAACTAATTGGGTTAAGCTCCTTTCTTTACCTTTTAACATGTTCATCCTCTCTTTACCTTTATTTTTAGTAGGGGCGAAACTGGTTAACTTTTGTTACAAGACAAAAGATGTAAAGGAATAAAGATTAAAAATTTTTAAAATTAATATGTTGAACTTAACCAATAATTAAAAAATTTATAATAAAAAATAATTTTATATAATATGTAAATCAAAAAGACCAATAAAAGAAAGACTTAATATAATCTTTTGAGAAAGTTGTGCTCGACGTTTCTTAGATTCAAATTCATTAATTATTAATTCTGTGTTAAAAGGTTAGTAAAGTCTTTCTAAAAATAAATAATTAAATTATGTGTAAAAAACGTATCATTCATTTTGTTTTGGAGTTTTATTTTTATAATTTTTATTGTTTAAAAGACTTTCTTTGTAGTTGTTGTAAATATCAAAAGAGTCAAAACAAGTCGAATTAATATATCAATTAAGTGGTAATTTCTTAATTTTCTTGTTTTTACTAATCTCTGGTACACTTCAAAAAGTGTCTTAATATTTTTAAAACTTGAGTGATAAAGTATATCAAGTTCATAATTCCTTAATTGTAACATCAAAAGAAGTCTTTTTTGCTCTGTGAAATCTTAAGAATAAAAACTCTCTTCTAAGTTCTTATTAGGATCCAAAGTATAAATAGTTATTTTATTTTTATTTAAATTTAAAATACTAAATATAAAACTATAATACATAAAATATAAATAATTAAATACGATATGTAAGATTATACATAATGGTTAAATATATAAATAATATAAATAAAACGAAGAAGATAAAAGAAAATTTTACTTTTTCTTAATTTTGCACAATGGTTCGTTTTTCCTTATTTAAACTCATAAGCTCATAATTCTTTTTTGAAAAATGGAATATGGTTCAGTGGTGAGTTATAGATAAAAAAATAATAAAAATAAAAAAATAAAAGAGAAGAGATAGAGAAAAAAGAGAGAGAGAGAGAAAAAAAAGAAGTGTAGAGAAACTTAAATTAGAGTAAAGTTGAATAAGTTTATGGAATCATTTTATTATTTTTTATTTATATTAATTATTAAATAAAAAATTATCTTGAAAGAGTATTAAAAAATATAATAAATAAAAAATTTCAAAAAATAATAATAAATGAAATTTTTCAAAAATTTTATCCATGCACTAGTGATAGAGTATATCGGTCAGAGTTTAGTCAACAGCTAACAAGTTAATCACCCCGTTGATTATGAATTTTTTCCTTTTCACTAAGAATGTATAGATTATGCCAAATCATACAAACCCCAAACGGGCTTACCTTTTGTGAGATGTGTTGGGGTGTCTTACTTTTCCATGGCAGTGATTAATGACCGACGAAGACTTTGAAATTGTGCAGGTCAATGAAGAGGATAGCATGCCGCTTTTGCATGGTATAACTTCAGCCACATGGCCATGTTTCTTGCTATGGCGACAAACACTGAAACGCGGTATTCGTCATGAGGCAATTCAATTCCCATTAATTTTGATGGCAACGCAAGGCATATTTTCTCCCTTCATTTTGTTTCTTAAAGTGCTGCATATCATATTGAACAAGTAAGATTATAAATACTTATTAAATATTATTTTTAATATATATATATATATATACATACACTATTAAATATATTTAATTAAATAAAATTGATAATATTGAAAAAAAAAGTTTGATTTTATCTCTTAATTCACTGAGATTAAGATTGTCACACTATTTACTATTTTAAAACTTTGGAATTTTTTTTATGAAACTCTTTGATTTTTTTAAAAATAAAACTGAAAAAACACGATTAATCGAACTTTAAAAATTCGTAAAAGATTCAAGTAATTTTAGTTCAAAAGACAAAAAGCCTCTGCTTTTGACGAACATCAATTAAATAATAGTAAGCAGAGTATATAATATTTGCGTTAGTGCCAAGAATAAAAGTGAAAAAAACAGCCACATTGGGAGATTTCACAATTCATGAATTGACACTTGACACTAAAAAAAAAGTGAAAATCCACAGTTGGAAGCAATCAACGAGGGGCAAGGGGCCCAAGGGCCCTTAGCTGCCTACTCCCACACGGCTTTCAACTATTGACAAGGAAACTGCTCGTGCTAGAATCTGGGCAAAGTGAAATAGTCAATGACGCAATTACACTCTGACCTTTGCACATCGTGGAATCGTGATTTCCCAATACTAAAAGTTGAAAATGTACCTATGCAAATTGCGTAAGTAGGTAAAGGAATGTTGTGCGCGTATTTGCAGCCAAGAAATTCATGGCCAAGTATTTTCCATTTCTGGTTCTCATTTTATTTCTTTTCGTTTCTATTCAGTTTTCATCATCAGCTGTTCCTATCCTAAGGCAAGGCTCGTCTCTGTCCGTGGAGAATCCAGATGACATTTTGGTCTCGCCAAGTGGCGTATTCTCCGCTGGTTTTTACCCCGTTGGCCATAACGCTTATTGCTTCGCCATCTGGTTCAGCAAGCCTTGCCATGATGGTAGCCACACCACAGTTTGGATGGCAAACCGGGATACTCCTGTTAATGGGAGGCGCTCAAAGCTCTCCATACTGAAAACTGGCCATATTATCTTAACTGATGCGGGAGAATTCATAATTTGGACGAGCAACAACAGAGATTCAGAGTCCTGGTCACAGTTAAAGCTCCTTGATTCAGGTAATCTTGTTCTCCAAACTCCAGAGAATGTTACTCTTTGGCAAAGCTTTGATTCACCAACGGATACTCTTCTCCCTGACCAACCACTCACCAGGTACAAAAGTCTTGTATCAGCACGAAGCCAAACTAACTATTCTTCAGGTTACTACAAGCTGATATATGACTACGATAACGTTCTTCGTCTTGTCTTGGATGGTCCTGAAACATCCAGCATCTACTGGCCGGATTCAACCCTCCTGGACTACCAACAAGGAAGAACAAGATACAATGACAGCAGAATAGCAGTGCTTGACTCTCAAGGTTATTTTACATCTTCTGACAAACTGGAGTTCCGGTCAACTGATTTTGGTAGAGGACCATGGAGAAGATTGAAGCTTGATTTTGATGGTAACCTTAGACTATACACACTTGAAGATCAAAAAGGGATATGGTCTGTCACATGGCAAGTTATGTCTAATCCCTGTAGAATACACGGAGCCTGTGGACCAAATAGTATATGTAGCTACGATCCAAGTTCAGGCCCAAAGTGCTCTTGCCCACCGGGATTCAAACTGAAAAACCAGGCAGACTGGACAGATGGATGCGAACCAGAATTTGACCTTTCTTGCAGCAATCATGATATCAAGTTTGTCAAACTCCGTCATGTTAACTTTTTTGGCTACTATTACGATATTCTCCGTAATTATACCTTAAAAGAGTGTGCCAAGGCTTGCTTGGATTCGTGTTGTATAGCCTTTCAATACAGATATTTCCCAGAGGATGGTGCTTATCGCTGTTATTCAAAATGGGAATTGCGGAATGGACATCGTTACTCTAGCTACAATGGAACCTTGTATCTGAAACTCCCAAAATCATTCACTTACGACAAAGCTGTTGAGGAATTCAAATTAAATTGCTCGAGCAATCAGACAAAACAGCTGGAAAGAGCTTATCACAAGGAAACTGGATATGGATCGTTAAAGATTTTGATTTGGTGCGCTTCTGTAATTGGATTGATTGAGATGATCTGCATCGTTCTGGTGTTCTGTTTCTTGTATAAAACCCAGCAAAGTTCTGATACAGCAACTTGCGGCTACCTTGTTGTTGCGCCTGGATTCAAAAAATTCTCCTATGATGAGTTGAAAAAGGCAACACGGGGATTCAGTGAAGAGATTGGACGAGGGGGAGGTGGGGTGGTTTACAAGGGAGTTTTGTCTGATCAACGAGTTGCAGCAATTAAGCGACTCAATATTGAAGCTAATCAAGGAGAAGAGGAATTTCTTGCAGAAATAAGCACCATAGGGAGGCTTAACCACATGAACCTAATTGAGATGTGGGGATACTGCGCAGAGGGTAAGCATAGGCTTCTGGTATATGAGTACATGGAAAATGGATCATTGGCAAAGAACCTCATGTCCGATTCGCTTGATTGGAAGAAGAGGTTCCAAATCGCGGTAGGCACAGCAAAAGGTCTGGCTTATTTGCATGAAGAATGCTTAGAATGGGTTCTGCACTGTGATGTCAAGCCTCAAAACATACTGCTGGATTCTAACTACAATCCCAAAGTAGCAGATTTTGGCCTATCCAAACTGTTCAATAGAAACAGTCTTAAAAGTTCAAGCTTTTCCAAAGTTAGAGGAACAAGAGGTTACATGGCACCTGAGTGGGTTTACAATCTGCCCATCACCTCCAAAGTAGACATCTACAGCTATGGAATTGTCCTCCTGGAGATGTTAACAGGGAGGAGCCCAGCAATAGGTGTTCCTGCGGTTAAAAACAGTGGAGAAGTATGGCACCAGAGTTTAGAAGAATGGGTTAAAGGGAAGAAAAATGGAGCTGCTGCAACAACGTCTTGGGTAGTAGAGCTCATAGACCCTGCCATTGGCTACGATTATGACAGAAATAAATTGGAAAATCTGCTGGAGGTGGCTATAAAGTGTACAGAAGCCGACAGACACGCAAGACCATCCATGAGCCGAGTAGTTCAAATGCTTATAGGTGACAAAATTGATCCTAATTAGCAGCGACAATAATAAAACTGCAGGACACCCTGACAGGCCTTGTTAGGTGCGTCCCAGTATCTTTCCAATAGTTAGGATTTCTCTGTAAACATATAATTTTGTTTTAGTGTCTATTAATTATTAATGCAATTCTAGCTACATCGGAAATTCAACGCAATGAGAACCTTATTCGAGTTCTGGAATAAGTCGATGGGTTGTGGATCCTTCTGTTGCCTTTTTTATTCTTGTATTGGTCTTTTGCTTTGTGGCTGTGAATGTGCAGGTTAAGGGCTGGAACTTTTTGTTTTTCTTTTGTACCAGCCGGTTGGTGGATCTTTTTGTGTCTTGTGTGAGTATGTACAGCTTGTGGGCTGGGATTTTCTGGGTTATGATCAGCTGGTTGGGACTTCATGTGTTCAGGAAAGTGTTGATGTGCGCTCCTGTGATTTTGACGTACAGGAATAGGGATTTTCTTGTTTTGGTATAGCAACTCTAGGAGTGAACTTTGTAAGAAGATTTGGAACTGTTTTATTCAACTAGTGTAAAACAGTGCAAAATCCTTTTGTCAGCTCCACAGAGGTGGTTATCCTCTGTTTCTGAACACATGAATTTTCCAAAAAAAAACATATCAACCTAGTTTTGTCTAGGCTAGGTATCAATATCATGGAGTGAATCTGACCCACAAAAAGAAACATTAAACATAAGTAATTCATAGGCATGAAGAGGGAAACATCAAAATCCAAATTTGTGTTGTCTTTTTTCTTTTTTTGGCTTAACTGATTCAAGTATAGACTAAATGAAATTGAGTTCTTTATTACCCATCAGAAAGGGCTGTTTTTTCTGGAACGGCAACAGTTGCATTGTCTTCCATTTCCCTTAATGAAAGACCGCCATTTCCTGTTGGAGCCACTCCTGCTTGGGACTCCACCACTTCCTCTTTGAACTTCTTGTAGATATCACCTTTGTAAAATGTTCTTGTCCGAAACACCAAAATCAATGAAACAATACTCCCGAACAAGGTAGCAGCAGTGATGATTAGAAAAGCCAATCTGTAACATTTTGCCCCACTGCAGTTCAAGTCCTGCCCAGGTTCCCTAGTACGTCCTAAAGCTTCCATTTGCTTCACAGCTTCCTTATCATACAGATGACCCGCCACTCTCACATTGAAAATGTACGATCCGACTGGGCTTGAAACTGACCCAACATTGTACATTGTGGAGTAGTGTTTAAGACCAAACAGTTCAGATATAATAGCACACAGTAGAGGCAATTGGGCTCCTAGGCAAAATCCTGTCATCACTGAAGCAAAATAAAGAGAATTGGGGACTGCAAAGGCAATCAAAAGATGGCCTACACAAGACAAAAGAATCACGAAAGTGAGCATCAGTGGACGAGGGAAGTTGTACTTTGTCAGGACAATTTCGGATAAATAACCTGCCAGGACCCGTCCAAGGAAATTCCATATGCTCACTAGTGATATAAATGTCGATATGCTATGAGTCGGATAGCCCAATGATTTACCAAGTTGACCCAGATTGTCAATAACTGTTAATGCTCCACCAGTGCCACAAGCTGTTGCAAGAAAGAGAATTAGCATGTCAATGCTGAAAATTGCTTGAAGAATGGTGTAGTCCTCCCCTCTGTCGGGTGGCTTGAACATGTTTTTAATACAATTAAAGGCCTCCTTTTTTGCTCCTGCTGGCTTTGCTGGAACTGCAGGAGGATTTTCAATCACAACATTCAATTGGGAATGAGTACTTGAGGCTTGTGTTTTGCTTGCCCAAACATTAAATTCCTCTTTAATTACAATAACAAGTGGGAGTAGTAGTAAAATAAGAACAACAGAAGCACTTCCAATATACTCAATTCTGGTAAAGCTGAGTCTGTTTTGCAAGATAATCACGATCATGATAAATCCAGCAAGTCCCAGAGCAATGTAGAGGAATCTGTAGAAAATTTTGAGCTCTCTCACCATCCGAACGACTTTCATAATCCGAATTGTTCGAAGAAAAATCAAGGGAACAATGGTTGGAAGCCAAGCAAGCAGCAAGATTAGAGCCTTTGAATCATCCCTATAAAATGCATGGTAGTACTGAGTCATGATTGCACCACTTAAACCAATAAACCCCTTCAAGAGGCCCAAGACACAGCCTCTGCTTTCAGGAAAGTTCTTAACACATGTGACCAGTGCACCAGTGTTTGGAAATGATTGCGAATTTGCAGCTATCCACATATATAAACACATCAGCCAAACTTTGGGCTTGGCTGTGCGGCTTGTGACTAATAGCCATATCATGAAATAGCCAAAGAAATTCATTACTGAACCCATGGAAAGAACCACCCATGGTGGCACAACTTCATAGATGAGCCCTGACAGGATTCCAAGATTACCACCCAAGTCCTTGAAGAAACTTAACAAATTGAGGGTTGTTTGATCATACCCCAATGTTGTTTTAATGTCATTAGAATATAGACCAAACATGTATCCCGAGCCATTGACCGACATAATAATTAGTGTAGCAAAAACCATGAACAATCTGCTGGAAAGTACAGCCAAGAAGAAGCTCTTCATCTCCCTCCGACTGCTGCCACCAGTTTTTTCAGTTAGGACCGTTTTCTTACTTGAGTTTAAGCAGTCTCCACCACTGAGCTTTGGCAGCCGGCAATTAGAGTCTACATTTAAGACAGAAATGAAACAGCTTTGGCATATTTCCGAGATTAAGTCCCTTAGAACCAAATTTGTCTTAGATCTTTGTCTTGTACTAATTGGATGAACATCCTTGAATTTTATGTTTCAAAAGAATCAAATTCCATTTTTCAGCGCCATTGAAAACTGTCTGTACACATCAAAGTCATAGAAATCTGTTTTTCTTCCCCTCAGACACAAGTGATCTCCATCACCAAACATTTGTATACTTGATTTGTTTGCATTAAGAAGCTATCAAGGCAAGTCAGATTCTTGTCGTTTCAGTCAAATATATCTAAAGCATCTCAATTATTGCAGTTAATTTATAATCCAATTGCGATTTGTAATTAGATAATCTTACTGTGCTACTAGTCAGTAATCGTTTGAGGCATTATGACTTCTTGTATTTCTGACCCAAGACTGTAATAATTCCTTGCTATGATTTGGGAAGCCCAACAAGCTTTTCATTTTTCCATTGAAATGATAATCTCATTTCAGTGTCATCTTAGCCCAAATGGAGACCAAACAAAGCCCAATTAAGTTAATTACTTAACTGTAATCTTATTTTCGCCATAAACTTTGTTCTACCACCCCCACACACCCTTTTTGTTTTCTGCTATGGGTAAATCCTTTCTTAACTCATTCTGCAATTTAAACAGGCTATGCATCAATCATAAAGTATTCAAAGGAACAAATTAGACAACCATGCTTTCTACTCGATTGGATTATAGAAAAAGAAAAATTCAGCGTATGCATTTGAATGCCGGCTACAATGTATATTTTCTCTGATATCACTCCAGTCTTCAATATGGTTCAAGGTCAAGAAAGAGACCCACCATATATATAAAGATTTGGTTTCTTATTATATCCACTGAATAATTAATTTTCTTAATATTGTATTACAAGTTTGATTAGTTGAATTAATACAAAAACATCACAATAAGCCTTTTTCTTGTGATTCCAACAAATTTGTGTAATCAAATAGAATGCACTCTCAAAAGGTAACTTCATTGCTTTTCTCTTTGATCATCAAATTAACATTCTCAGTTGGACTTATTCACTGACAGATAAGTTCCATATCAATAAAAAGCTAATTTTTAAACATATGTTGCAGTCCGATTTAGACATACAATGACTTTAAGACTCCGATTGCGTAGGGAAGTGGATCTAGATACATACTAAATTCAACTAAAAATAATTAAATTAACAAAATAAATGTCATTTACTTATGAAAAGTAATACTATATGCTGAGATTGATACATAGATATCTCCTTAGTTACAATTATGGTGATGTCATAATAATAAAAAGTTTCATAATTAATTACATGAGACTAATCTTACCAGATAATTTAGTGAAGAGTATGCATGTGAGTTGATACAAATTAAAAGTTCATTCTGTCAACTAAATATATCTCAAAGACTCAAACTATCCTTTCTTCTCTCGGTAGATAAAATAATATTCTCCTGGTGATATTTACAAACAAACACCAAAAGAAACAGCTAAGACTACCTTCAAATGCCAAAACTTCGACTTGAATACAAGCCAAAATTTTATTTTCTTTAATTTCTTCCCTCTCAATGGTTAATTAAAACATTTTTCTCGTGTGATGATTCCAATCAAACAACAGAGGAAACAGCTAAGACTAAACCGATCTTAAGGGGACAAAACAGGGGAGTTGACAGGTTGAATTGTTGTGCAAAGAATGAGATAAAAAGCCTTAGTTATTAGTCCACTCATTTTTTTTTTTTGCATCTCAGTTTTCCCGATGTTATGACAGTTACATACCACCTAGCACGGAATATGAGGACTTGTTTCACGTCTTAAACGGCAATGACCTGTCCTTTGATTGATCGGGTCCGAACCATCTTCATCCATTTGTCTGACGTATCTTTTCAGGCCCCACTCTTCTTTTTAGGCGCCAACCATTGCCGGCCTCTCTGATTATAAACTTGGCTCTGTTTGCCTCTCACTATTGCTATCATCCCCTAACGTTTTCTTTCTTTTAACCTCAAAGTTTGGCGAAGAAAGGAACAGCTGGCAGTTATGGCGGATCCTGGAAAGATGGAAGAAGGGCTAGCTCATGCAGAAGTTGCTCCTGACCAAGAACGTAAAGATAAGCGTGATGGAAAGGTGGAGAAAGAGGAGGGTGTAGCAGCAGATCGTATTGGAAATGATAAAGAAGAGAGGGCGGCTACCGCTCAAGTTGAACAACAAAACTTGGAGGAGCAACCACTAGTCAAGCAAAAGACCAAGAGGGTTGCCACCTTGGATGCATTTAGAGGGCTCACCGTCGCGGTGAGTGCACTAAGACTCGAACCCAAAGTTTAAGAAAAGATAATAAATTCGAAATGAACAATATATATGCGTAAATTTATGAAGTGGTTGTTATTTAAAAACTAAATGATGATTTTTTGCACTGTCTTGTAGCTGATGATATTAGTAGATGATGCTGGGGGAGCATATCCGAGGATTGATCACTCACCCTGGAATGGCTGCACGCTAGCTGACTTTGTGATGCCATTTTTTCTCTTCATTGTCGGGGTAGCAATAGCCCTAGCTCTCAAGGTAACAAATCCGATGCCTTTCTTATGTTATTCTGGGTTTAGATTATCATGTTCTTCCCTTTCGGTCCTGCAAGTACGTCCATATGTCCTACTGTCAGTTCCACAATACTTGGGTCGACATAGGGGACACAGTGTATGTGCATCTTTCAAACAAGTGGGAATTTCTCCAACACCAGGCGTGCAGAAATGAACAACACCCAATTTTGAGAAATGGGGTTTTAGAATTCTTCCTCAAGAACCACAAATATATATTCAGATATGGTTGAGGCAATGGGAGTTGTGTCAGTTTTCTCTGAGAATTCTATCAAACAATGAGTGCTAGGGTTGCATACAGTTTGATTCAATTCAGTTTTGGAAGAACTTTCGGTTAATGTGCAATATTTTGGTTTCTCCCAAACCGAACCAAATAGGTGGTTGACCTAAACCGAGTTCAAATGATTCCAATTCGATTCAGATTGATTTGATTTCCCCATTTTTTAAAAAATTAAAGATCTTTTTTTATATTATTTTTAATTTATTTACCGAAATATTAAAAAAATAATTTTTATTGTATACTATGAATCAAGAATCCAATCGAATCAAATAAGTAATTTTAATATTTTAACTTACGTTTGATCCAAACCAATTGATTATTGTTATTTATATTAAAGTTTAGTTTCTTAATTGTTTTTCTCAATCTTACTTGGTGTTTACATGGGAGTTCAAGCATTATTGATTTAGTAAGTTTTCAAATATAAATCATATGATCGTTTAAATTCAAGTTATTAATAGTAATTAATTTAAATTTTTATGAAAATTTTAATAATCAGATTCACGTCTAGTATAAAATAATATAACATAACATATTAGATAATTCAAATATTTTGTACTTTCCCATTAAATAAGGTCGTGTCATTATTTTAAAGGGTGTCTTCACAGAACTCTGACTATTGTACTATTTTATAAATGCAAAATGTGATTTTGGAGATAGAATGTAAATTTTTCAATTGAGTATAATTTTGATCAAAACTTAAAAAATTTTATACAATTTACTCAAATTTTAAAAATAAAATACTCTTAAGTAAAATTTTATATTTTTTTATTCGATTTATTTCTTACCATCAGAACAGCAGAATCAAATTATAAGCTGATTAGTACCAACCAAATATTGGACACCTATAAAAAAAAATATGCGCACTATTTATCCATGGCAATAGGCAATACACATATGTCTAAACAATATTTATTTTTCTATCAAAAAGTGATCATAATTTGCATCCAAACATTTGATTTATTGATTAGTTCATAAATTTCGTAATTAAAAATATGAGATCAAATTTTTCTTCCTTAAAAAAAATCATAATTTGCACTATAATTATTTAATCTAATTAAAAAATGCATGTGTTGTCCTTTGTGAGTCTAATAATTAAATACATGAGTTGTCATTTCTCATAAATTTTGTCTCCCCTGTTGCAGAAAATTCCAAAGATCAAGGATGCAATTAAGAAGATAAGCTTAAGAACCCTGAAGCTTCTCTTTTGGGGAGTTTTGTTGCAAGGTAGGCTTCGTACCCAAATATCCCAATCATTATCATTTGATGCCATGCCAGCCTTGCCAGGGGCTATGCCATTTTAGCCTCCAATTCCCCCTATGTTAATATAATATGTTTTTATATCTTTGGACTAGACCATTTAAAATGAAGTCTCCTCCTAAGTTTTGAAGGATTTATGCCATTAAACTAGCCAACTCAAAGAAGTTGGCAATGCCTAATTTTAATAAATATATAGCAGTAGCCTTCATTGATATGCATGCTTAAATACTTAAAGGTAGATGCACATAGACTTGGACAGGAATCAATGCTTAGTGAATATTGCGATTGCTAACCTGCAGGTGGATACTCCCATGCGCCTGGTGATCTTGTCTATGGAGTTGACATGAAACAAATCCGATGGTGTGGCATCCTCCAGGTAATAACACCTGATCCTTAGCAGAGATTTTCAGTCTTTTCTTTGGCCTATAATTCTGTTCATGTCAACAATATAATGGCGATTGCACACATCCAATATGAACAGATTTATACACTAACGTTTGTCTTCAAAATTGATGTATGAGCGAATCATGAATTTCTTGCTTGCAAGCAGAGAATAGCATTGGTTTACTTCATTGTAGCCATGATAGAGACACTGACTAGAAAGCACAGACCAACAGTTTTGGAACCTGGACGTTTATCAATTTTTACTGCATACCGCTGGCAATGGTAAAGAACCACAAGTTCTATACTTCTATTCTAACAAAGATGTATTAGTATCGTTGCGACGACGGTTCACCTAAAGTTACAACCATTTTTACCTATTGAAAATCTAGGATTGGAGGATCCGTTGCTTTTGTCGTTTACATGATCACAACGTATTCACTATACGTCCCAGATTGGAGTTTTGAGGTAGACAATGGCGATGAAGCAACGAGATACACGGTACTGTGAATTACAGCTCAAATGCTCCCTGCATAAAATTGATCAGAATCGAGTTTCCCCAGAACTAAAACTAATGACTGAGTTTATTTTGCTATTGCTGCAATTTTAAGGTCAAATGTGGGATGAGAGGACACCTAGGACCTGCTTGCAATGCTGTTGGTTATGTGGATCGAGAGGTTTGGGGCATTAATCATCTCTACTCAAGTCCTGTCTGGCAACGCCTAAAGGTCAGTCCAGATCAGGGTGGTCAGGAAATTTCTGAGCTTCATTTTCCTATAGATTAGCAAAGTCATCACTGCTTACCATCAATTTTACTTTGTTTCAACAAAATTGTAGGCTTGCACTCTTAGTTCTCCAGGTTCTGGTCCTTTCCGTGAAAATGCCCCAAGCTGGTGCCGTGCTCCATTTGAACCAGAAGGCTTACTAAGGTTTGTTGATTGACCTAAACTTCTCATTCTAAGTAATCCATACCTACCCAGAACCCAGTGATTTGATTGGTTGATGTTCTTTCTTAGTTCAATTTTGGCTATCCTCTCCGGCACCATTGGGATCCATTGTGGACATGTTTTAATTCATTTCAAGGTTAGAAACATGCGAAACTAAATGTATCATGAATTGTGGTTGCCAATCAGCCTCAAGAAGGGAACTAAAAATGAAAGCGGTCTTTGTAGGGTCACTCTGAGAGGCTCAAGCAATGGGTCTCGATGGCGTTGGGCTTAATTATTGTAGCCATTATTCTTCATTTTACGGACGGTGGGACTCCTGGAATAACGCATTTGAATCCTATGATAGATACAATTTCCTTCGGAGCAATGCAAGATGAAATTAACCCATGTTGCTTGTCTGCAAATTTGCAGCTATTCCCATCAACAAGCAGCTTTACAGTTTCAGCTATGTGTGTTTCACAGCCGGTGCAGCAGGAATTGTTTTCTCTGCATTCTACGTCCTGGTAAAATAATTTCACACTTTTCAGCTAGTCAATATTCCTAAGGCTAATGGTAACTGAAAGTGTTCTGTTTGTCTGTTTTCCCTTGTGAAATAAATCGACAGATTGATGTATGGGGATTCAGGACACCATTTTTGTTCCTGGAATGGATAGGAATGAATGCAATGCTGGTATATGTGCTTGGGGCACAAGGCATCCTTGCAGCATTTGTAAATGGATGGTATTATGAGTCCAGCAACAACACCCTTGTAAGTACTTCCATCATGTTAAGGTTAAACATTTTGACAATCTTAGCTTCTTGCAGGATCAGCTAATGGAATTTTTTCTAAATAAATCCTATGCTCAGGTCTATTGGATCCAAAAACACGTCTTCATAAATGTTTGGCACTCGGAGAGGCTAGGGACCCTTTTATATGTAATATTTGCAGAAATTGCTTTCTACGGAGTCCTTTCAGGCATCTTGCACAAATTGGGTATATATTGGAAGCTATAAGAGTCAACATTGCTACAGAATATAGGAAGGACTAGATAATGTGTAATACTTGATTTACAAATTGTACATTAGATTTTTAAACATTTCTCTTTCTTTCTTTCTCCCTCTGTAAACCTTGTTTGCTTGTTCAAATTTTCACCTGCTTGCTAATAATAGTTAAATTTAGAATTGTTTAATTTGAACTTTATTTTGGTCACTGCTTCCTTTCTTTAACAATGTGTTGGGTTAATGAGAAGAGAAATCTTAAAAGCAGAAATAAATTAAGTACATTCCAACACAATACAAAGCAAGAACAAGAGAAAAGCCCCTACAAATTACATATTCAAAATATGTACCACTAACTCCTAAGACAACTTTCTGCAGGCGAAACTTTATGTATCAGGAGATCATATGAGATGAGCAGTCAAACCCTTTTTCAGCAGAAATCCAGGACTTTGCAACTGCACCTAAAGAGAAAGCTATGATCGTTAAACTTACGAAAGATTGTTCTCAACTTGAGACTGCTCATTTTAACTCTAGGCAGTCTGCCAAATATAGGACTCTTCTACCACTTATATCGTACAGTATAACTTGTCAGCTGCAAAATCCCTCTGCAACTTTGGATGCGTTTAGAGGGCTTACCATAGTAGTAAGTCTATGACTATATAAGCCTTACTTGACAGCTTAACAGCTTATTATCTTACTTCTATTTTAAGAGCATTAGAGGATGCTAGCCTCTGATTGTCTTTACCCTTACGTTATCCTTTGATGCAGCAAATCTTCTTATCTATGGAGATGCTGCTGGTCTGTTTAGACAACGTTCAAACTATATATCCATCCATGCAGGAAAAAAGAAAGAGAAGAAAATCTTCTTATTTGTTGTGTGCATGAATAAATTATAGTTCCCTGCACTTCAAGTAAGAAATATTCACATAATTTACTTAATTTTAAGCTACCAATAAGCCTTAAATTAAAAAAAAAAAAGAAAATGAATCATTTTGTAAGAGACCATAGAATTAATAAAAACTGAGTAAGTTTTTTGAAAACAAATGCTAGAAATGATTTTGAGCGTGTGCTGGTTTGTAGTTGATTAGACCATGCATGCTGGCATAGCATATCCAGGCCTTGATCACGCACCATGGGATGGATGCATGTTAGCTGATTTTGTGATGCCATTTTCCTCTTCATTGTTGGGGTTGCAATTGCCCTGGCTCTCAAGGTATATATACTCTTTTCTCTAATTGTGGCTTTAGACAAACCATATTTACAACTTATTAATTTCCATTTGTTCTCTGGCTTTCCCAGCTATTATAATACAAGTCAGATGTCTCTGATAAACCTTGATCTCAAATTTACAGAAAATTCCCAAGATCAAGGATGCAGTTAATAAGATAACCTTAAGGACAATAAAGCTTCTATTTTGGGGAATTCTGTTGCAAGGTATGCCATAAACATGTGAAGCCATTACCACAATGTACATGGTTTTCTCTGTCACATGACTCTCAAGTGAATCAAAACTCTTAACCTCTGAACTTCTATATTGACACACTGCAGGAGGATACTCTCATTCTTTAGCTAATAAGATTGATCTCGTTTATGGGGTTGGCAAGGAGCTCATTAGATGGTGTGGCATTCTCCTGGTCCTCTTTTACATAGCTAGTCATTGTTCATCTTTGAAATTCTCCTTGACTGAGCATACCGATAATATTGACAGCGTTAATACATGTAAGAAAGAATCAAAAAGCAGCTTTAATCATAGTGACATTTTTCTAGGAATTGATTTTGAAGCCATGTTGATGGTAACCGCTGTTTTCTTTCGTGAAAGCAGAGAATAGCATTGGTATACTTCGTTGTAGCTCTGATAGAGACTCTGACTACAGAATGGAGACCACTTGTTATAGCATCAGGACATCTATCCATTTTCTTTGCATATCGATGGCAATGGTAACCAAGTAGGTCAGCTTACTCATACCAATTGAGAGACGATAAAAGGGCCAATCTTTCATCCGTACCCATATTTATGGAACAAAACTTTGATACTTTTGCTAAGACAATGGGAGTAATGTGATTGGTCTACATTGAATCCAGGGTTAGAGGGTTCACCGCGTTTGCCATTTACATGATCACAACTTATTCATTGTATGTTCCTGATTGGAGTTTTATCGATCACGAGGGAGGAACGAAATATACAGTATGTTCTGAATAGCTGATCAAGTATAACAAGATTATGCAATGATTGATGTACTTGTAACAGCTTCTTTACCCTTTTCGCCAATTTTAGGTGAAATGTGGGATGATGGGACACTTGGGACCTGCTTGTAATGCTGTTGGGTATGTGGATAGGGAGATTTTGGGCATAAACCATCTCTACAAGAGCCCTGTATGGCAACGTCTAAAGGTGTAGTCCCAAAAAGGCAGAATGAATCATTTTGAATTTTCCTTTTCAAGTTCCAAAAAATTCTTATTCTCAATCATTTCAATGAACTTGTAGGCTTGTACGCTCAATTCCCCACGTTCAGGCGCTTTTCTCGAGGATGCTCCAGGTTGGTGCCATGCTAGTTTGAACCAGAAGGTTTGTCAAGGTTTGAAACTTCCTTATCAACACACTATATACACTCTTTTTTTTTTAAGATTAACTATGAAGTGTATTCATATAAAAGGAAAACCCATGTACACAAAAGGAGAGAAAACTTGACAAAATCAGACCAGGATCCTCTTCTGAACTGGCTGTAAAAAAATAGCCAGCAAAAACCTAAGTGCTGCACAAGAGAGTTGACAGCAAAAAACAGGCAAAATACCACAATCAGCCCTGAAGCAAAAAGAGACAGAGGGATAAGTAAGAGAGAGGGATAACACACTATATACTACTTAACAGAGCAAAAAAGATTATTTTGAGCTAGACATGATTTAATAGTCCTTTCCTTTTGATAGTTCAATCTCAGCTATTCTCTGGCGCACCATAGGCATCCATTACGGGGCTGTGCTGATACAATTCAAGGTTAGGAACTCAATTAAGTTGCTTGAACTATCATTAATTAGACATCAACTTTTAGAAGTAAGGAGTGAAATTTTGCGTACGGTCACTCTCAAAGGCTCAAACAACCGGGTATCAATGGGGCTTGGCTTACTTATTCTCGCCTTCCTTCTTCATTTTACTCATGGTCAGTTTCCTTGACAATGATTTCGTCCTCTGAAATCCAATTGGATATACCAATGAGTTTTGTAATTACTTCTTGACTAAATCAAAAATTATGAAAGGATCTTTCCCCACTGTTTTGCAGCTATTCCTATCAATAAACAGCACTACACCATTAGCTATGTCTGCCTCACAGCTGGTGCAGCAGGAGTTGTATTTTCTGGAGTCTACATTCTGGTAATAAAAAGAAAGCAGCAAACCAACTGTCCACATATGCTAATCTTTATAGCTAACTATATATAATTGTGTAATAACCAGTCAGAAATTCTTTGGTTTCTTTTCTTGGTTGTCCCTTGGGAAAAATGAACAGATTGATATTTGGGGGCTGAGAACTCCATTTCTATTTCTGGAATGGATAGGGATGAACTCCATGCTGATTTTTGTGCTGGGGGCACAAGGTATACTTGCAGTATTCATCAATGGCTGGTACTATAACCACCCTGATAACACACTTGTAAGTGTCTGCTTCCAGTTAATTTTATTAAGCAGATCAGTTTGGAATTTTCAGTCAGTTGAAATTATCACCTGAAAATGCAGATTGAACAATGAATGCTCAGGTCACTTGGATCAAAACTCATGTTTTCATAGATGTGGAACTCGAGGAACCTAGGGACTCTTTTGTATGTGACTTTCGCTGAGATCACATTCAATGGAGTACTTGCTAGAATCTTAAATAAGTTGAGAATGTACTGGAAGCTGTAATGAAGCAAATTTTGTTCAATAAATTGGAGGATCTTCATTAGACATTAAACAGATTTGTCTTCTTTTTGTCTTTTCTTGTTTGTCTGTAAAATAATGTTGGATAGCAATCACTATGAACAGATATGCCTCACTCATCTTCATCAGGTAGTCCAAAACTCTTTGCTTCCAAGTTGTTTAACTCTTACCCTTTGAATTCTGTCAAAACCCAGAAAAAAACCAGAGTTAGATATTAAAACAATGGATAAAATACTCTTACTTTTTAAATTTTTATTGAATTTACACAGATTTATTAGTTTTTGAAACGAACAATTCATCCCAAGAGTGTAAACATTAATAAATAAAATTGTGAAAAAATTAAAATATTTTTTCTTTTTTTATTAATTTAAAAAATTATTATTATCTTTTTTAAAAAAAATAAAAATAAAAGCTCCGATGCTCCTAGCAGAGTTTTTTGTAAAATAATAAAATTATCTTTGTTATAAAATAGTTGACAACAAAAAATATTTTTACAAAATAGAATATCTATTTTAAAAATTTATAAAACTTATAATTTCAATCAAAACTTAAAAATAAAAAATTTACCCCAAAACATTTGTTACATCTATATCAACTACAGGTGAACTAGTTTCTTTATTTTTAATGGATAACAACAAACTACATGTGGATCATCTCAAAGGACTAATCTTCATTGAACTAGGAAAATTTAGAATTGGAATATGGGGAACCATTGGCCCTTATCCCTTGCTGGTATTAAAAAAGGAAAAAATCTTCGGTGGAAATATCTTGACATGCAACATGACAATCTGTACATTATTGAAGTGATCGAAATCGACATGTTAACCATCAAACCATAGCTATTTCCGATGTGACATCTTATTTCTGTAGAATCTGAAGAGACATCCATGATTTGTTGGATAAGTTGCAAACCAAGAGCAAAGAAGTCTCCCTACAAATATGCTCTGGAATGCAATATTCAAATACCATAACCAGGGTTTTCGGCATCTGTAGTCCTCAACATTAAGAGAGAGAGGACAAAACTGATAAGAATCAATTCAATTGGAAGGCAAAGAAGAAGTTTGAATAGAGAACAGGGGTGGGATGGAGCCGAAGTATTAAATTTTTTCCACTGTATGACAAACTTGTCGCAATCATTCTTGAAAGACTTTGGCTTAAAACCTAAATAAATACACAACTAGCTTGTATACTATTTAAAACTGGTTGATGCTGGGATTTCTCAAACTGAAAAAACATGTTCACACATACTTGAACAAAGCAACCATATCACAGGGAGTTGTCCATCAATATGCAGGGGCTATACAGTTGTGTGGACAAAAAGAGCGGCACGGAGATTCGGCACAAACTTATGGCATAACTGATAATATGCGAAAACTGGAAAACGCTGTTTTTTTCTACAACATGTTCTGCATTTTTTAGTACAGGGAGATGAAAATATGATTAAGAAATTTCGTCGGATTGCTTGATAGTACCCAACTGACCCACCAAAGGGTCCACCAACAAAGATACTTACACAACAAGATATGCATGATTTCTAACTCTGTGCTACAACTTTCAAGTATACATTGCCACAAGAGCTTTACTATTCCTTTATCTCCCTGCTACAAACTCATCTCTACATCACAAGCTTAGCCTCGCAGAAGCTGCAACCGTAAGATACGAAATTTTAGAGATGTGATTCATAATTTACAGCGACTGCACAGCGGGGCAGGGCAAGTATACTGTACAGGGGCCATGGCCATCCAGGAGGAACAATGTTGTGATCATAGTTATTCCCAACCCATCAACAGCTTCCAAACTCCTTCCTCAACCGTTCTTCTTGGAACAGATAAGCTAGCACCTTCATCTAGTAGAACTCTGTAAACTTCCCACTCTCGATCTCCGATCATGTGTCTCCCAATCTCTGCCTGAAAAATATGTATACTCAAAAAAGTTATACAAGCAATTTGCAAAAGAAAAGCTGAGAAACATTAATTGACTAAGAAAAGACAGTCTTTTCTCTAAATAAACAGCATTGCATTCTGTCCAAGCAGTATAATACATGTAATACATTGGATTCATGTTTCGACAGGCAGCATATCGGTAAACATGTACCATATCCTACAACTATATAAGGGACAGCAAAGAGGAGTAAGAGAGCAAAGCATATATGAATATTATTGCATTTCACAATCCCCTAGTCAGACTAGGAGTTGGAAATTGATACAGAAATTTATAATGCAGACTGGATATGGAAAACATGCAGCCACAGCCGATATCAACCCTAACACACTGTTAAGTTCATAATCCCAATGATGCAAGCTAGTTTTAAGCAACAAAAATGAATTTATTTACATGTGAAAACAAAATACAGGAAAGCAGAGCAGAACTCCAGTCGAAGCTTAATGGCACAGAGCTTAGGAAGTACCGAGAAGATGCAAGTGTCAAGCATCTTTAAAGCAAGGGTAATGTCATAAAAAACAAGAGGCCGGCCCTTGCTTGACAACTCTACAGGATTTGCAACCAGAAGCTCTGTATCAGGACCCCGGCTCATTACAGCTACTCTGAGTGGTTGGAGCAGTTCCATCTGCAGACGTGAGGACAATGCATTTTGCTTGCTAGGATCAACTATCTTCTTTCCATCAGCTTGCATTATAAACAGGTCAATCTCACACTTTCTTCCTTGTTTTATATAAAAGCGTCCATATGAAATCTAGTTACATTATAAAATTGAGGTATTAAGATGGTGGAACTAGTATTAGTTACATGGGCTAAGATGCTTCTCTTTCTCCAACTGAAAATTAAACAAGTAAAAAGGTGCTTCCACAATTTTGAAAGGAATCACGTCAATTATGATTGACAGATACACATGATAACAAAAAACATTGTCTATAAAAGCATAGCAAGAGTGGTTTTATAAATTCATGGAGGTGGGGTACTTGGCAATACACATAACTAAGTACAGCCACATGAAAACAACAGAAGGATAAAAGCCATTGAATTGTCAAGGTTCACATACCAAAATTTTCAAACAAGATATATTCAAATGAGAATAAAAGCAATATTATAAATTATTCAAGCTAGAATATTCCTAAAACCAATCTTCCCAGAAAAGATCGGACATATGTCCATGATTAACTGCAGCATGACACTTTTGTAAAAATTCAGTAAAACATTGATTCATTATATACTAGCAATTAGTATATTTACCTGAATGTTGTAATCCTTTAGAGTTCTCATTATGTCATACAGAAGACCTTTATGATCTTGGCAAACGATTTGAACAAGCGTGTGAGCAGGACTCAGCGAGTTGTCCATTGTGACAGAAACACTGTTGGAAGTTAGTGATACACTTGGGAGTTTATTGGACATCTCTAGGTGGAAAATATCTTCTGTTATTTGAGACGGGAGAAATGGAGATGCCTGAGAACATGCAGTAATTTGAGGTCCAACCTTTTCAATGTTACAGCTAATCACAGCTTCCTGCATAACATCTTCCAATGCTTTGCAAGTCTCCACCTGCCTCTTTTTTGTATGTAATAGTTCCCTGGAAAAAAATCACAATATTTACAAAGGATGTTACTTCTTGAAAATTAAGAATCATATAAACAAGATTTTGTTCTTCCACCAAAGGGTTGTAGAAACTTAAGGTGGAGATGCAAGCTGCCTCAGCATATCAGAGTTATAGTTACTATGACCTAAAATATCCTTTTAAAACCAATTTAATCTATTGCCCTATCAGATAATATTTTCTTGTCTACATCAATTCAGCTCTAAATCCCTTAACCCTTTCTCCCACATACATATATAGTTTGAATAGAAGCAACAACAAACCTCTACTTAGATGTGCATGTTGTTATAATTCCAAATACATTTGCAGTCATTTTTAAAGAAGCCTAACTGATCAAAGGTAATGAACATGATATATTAACTGAATTGCACTTGTAATAGTAGCAACTTACATGAAACATAAAACTAGTTCTCAAAGATTAGCAAAGCACATAATCTAATTTTGGAGAGATCATATCAAAGAAGCAAAACCTGGTATCTGTAACAAAGAATAGGTCCATCACTGACCCGTCTGGAGTTGTGGATACCTTCACTTTCTTTATATTGAGTTCGAGACTACACAGAACTTCTGTCACATCTGCAACGAGAAACTTCTAAAATTCAATCACTAATATAGTTTGGACCACATTTGTGCTCAAATTCTTCATAAGAAGACCCTATCATGAAGATATATGAAGTAGGAAAGCAAAAACAGAAAACCATTTCTTCATGCCCTGTATGATAGCTGAACTAACAGGGGGAAAAAAACAGAACTCGGATCTCTAAAATTCAATATTATGTTTAAAAAAGGATAAATCCCCCTTGATTTATAATATATATATATATATATATAATTGAGAACAAAACTTCGTATGAATTGAAACTACACCAAGATGTTCTCAAAAGAAGAAGAAGTTCACCATGTAAAAGGCCTTTTCTATCATAACAGCAAAGCTTGAGGAGAAACACATCAGGAGGCTTTGGAGGCTGCAATTCAGAACGGTAATAAGAAATCCCAGAAGCTGAAGAGCAAGAAGGGCAAGCCCCAATTAGTCTTTTCTTCAACAATTCCCATCTCGAAGAATCCCATCTTGTTGCAGGCTTACAAACTACCCAAAACACTATGTAGCACCATTTCCCATCTGTAGATACATCTTCACAACACAAACAAAAATTTTTTTAAAAAGGTGGTAATTAAGACCATAAAAATCCAATTAAATAACCAAAATTAAATCAAACTATCGAAATTTTTTTCATAGCTTCTCAAATGCCCATCATTTGTTTCACTCAACTGAAGATAAATTAAACCATTTTTTGACCTCCAAATAGTCCAAAGATTAAAACTTGAAAGACCAAAATACCCAAATTTTCATCAAAGTTAAACCAAAACCACAAAATCTCCATAGCTTGTTTCACAGAATAAAAGTAAAAGCTCAAATGAAGATAAATAAAACACATGCATAAAAATTGGGTCGGCTTCCAAATAGCCAAAAGACTTTGAACTTGAAAGAAAAAATTCCAACTTCATTTTATTGCTAAAGAAAATGGTTGATAGCTACAAAAACATGCAATCATTTTCTTGAAAAAAGAGAACTTGGGGTTACCTCCTCTAACAATGCTAAGACCAAAAAAGAGCAAGATGCGGCATAAATCACAGCCCAAACCAGTTTTATCAGGGCAGTTAACAGTGATAACACTTGGTTCTCCTTCTGTCTCTGATTGCCTTATGATCACTACGTCGTCGTGTAGAATACCCATCTTTCTTTACTCTTCTTCTTCTTCTCCTTCTTCTACTACTACTACTCGTTCAAAGCTTGAAAAACAGCGAAAGAATTTTCCTTTAATTCATTTGGGGTGGTTTGGTTCATTCCTTGCTTTTTATGAGCTGTTGTTTTGCTGTGTTAAGGAGTACAGAGGAGCAGCGGTAGTGTTCTGGAGACAGAGAAAAGGCGAGAGAAAAACAGAAAGCAAAGCAACTCAGAGAGAGAGAGAGAGAGAAAGTCAGTGTTTTGCTGCCTCCTTTTCTTTGCTTGTGCTTCACTTGTAGTTGTTGTTTACTAGTCTATTTTTCTATTTTCCCTTTTACCCATTTCGTTTTTTCTTGGCGTTTGGTGATGGGGTTTTCAATATCTCCAGCCAGATGCCCAACTCCAACCAAGCTCATAAGCACAAACCCCTGCCCTGTTTTGACAACAAATACCATTTGCTTTCTAACCTTCTACTTTAAGGGGTAATACACCTCCTCTCTATCTATTTTGCATAAACCATTTTTAATTATTTTATACACGAACTATTAGAAAATACATTAAAACGACAGAATTTAGCATTTTGTTGAGCAAAACAATCCCCAATCATAGATTCCTCATCCTGTTTTTGGATTTTGCTAAGCTTGGATTCCTTATCCCACCTCTCTAAATATTATCCTCCCCCTTCCCTCCTACTCGTTTCAAACATTTTGGGACCCCCGTATCCGTAATCTTCCCAGCAGTACTGTGTGGCAGTGACACGGTCCAACATTATTGGACGTTCTTTATATCCTCCAAACCAATATAAAAATAAAAAAACTTGTGTG